GGGGGGGGGAGGGAAATGCAAACTACTGAAGCAACTCCTGGGATTATATTTTAACCGATTCATTTTATTGCCTCGAACAGAACGTCACAATCCATCCAATTGCACTTTGGATGCCCCCCCATCTGTGAGGCCCTGGGCAATAATTATCTCCCCCCTAAAAAAGAAGCAGAGTCTAATAGCTGCCTTAGTATTCTTCATGAAATGGCTTCATCTTCTTTGAAGCCAAGCCAAACCAATGGACCCGCACCACATTGTTCCACAATAAATGCCATTAAATTCACTGAAGGAAGAAGCACATTCTTTCAATCTGTCTGGGTTCGATAAGTAGGAAACTTGTTCTATGATCTTTATACATTGCTGCCATCTAGTGGCTCTCTGGACTTTTGCAGCTATATTTGCAAGACTTAGGCCTGCCTCTACTTCAGTGTTTCTCAAACTTAGTGTCAAATAATTTTCCTCTCACATTAGCAAATTTAAGATGTGTAGACTTCAACTCCCAGAATTCCCCAGCCAACAGCAGTTGAGAAACGCTGCTCTAAATGCTAAGTGCGGGAAACAACAGCTGAAGAGTGGTAGGTCTCTATCTTCTGCTTGCAAACATCTGCAGAAGGTTTTTGGAGGCCAGATATGGTAGCCCTAAACACTCCCTTCCCTTCCAAATTCTGGCATTGAATTATAATCCACAATCACAAGGGGCAGTTGGCAACTCTACAGCCAAATGTGCCCTTAAACTCCTTTTTGAAAGCCCTAGGGCCCTATCAGGCTACAATTGCTAGAAATGAGCATTGTGGTTTCCCACTCTTCTGAAGCAGGTAACCCATGGAAGCTGTAGTCTAGCACTACAGAAAGGTTAACTTATTTCCAAAGACAAAGGATGACTTCAAAATTGTTTCTCCAATTACAAAAAAATTACAAGGGGGACCAACCCCCCCCCCCCCCACACACACACACACAGCCTACCCACTGTAGCCCTCGGCGCCTACAAAGCATTAATTATGAGCCTCAGCTTTCCAGATTGCCTATCCCACTGTATCACTGAGAATGTCCCTTTCTCACCTTTTTTTCTAAACTCAAACAAATGATATGACCTCTTAGGTGCGGTAATTCCTCTTCTCGATCATTTTGTTTCCCCTTTTCTGTATTTTTTCCAGTTCAACTCTATTCTTTTTAATATGAACAAAGCATAACTTTACACAGCAGTATGTAGATGTGGGCAAACTACAGATGAGGAGCAACTGTCCTCCTCTATGCTCGTGAGGAGCAACTGTCTGGAGCACCTGTGGTCAATCTCAAGTCCTCTCCTTGTCCAGAGAGGAATTATGAAGAGCCCGTCTACTTGCCAGCTCTTCATTCCGCTGCGACCTTCAGTTTGCCATTTCTTCCCCAAAAATCAACACTGCAAGCTTTTCCTGTGTGGATGGCATGGCTATAATCTTTACTACTAAAACATACCGGTTTTCAGGGCTAAGCAGGGCTACATCAATCTCTAAAATGTTCCTCAAAGTGCAGATATTGAGTCTGTATGCATCAGCTTAACACAGCTGCGTCTTTCTCCAGGATCCTACAGCTGCCTGGGAAAAGATGTGGTTGCAGACAAGTGTTATAGTCACACTCCTGTATTCTCCAAAATATGTTTTGGAGATCTAATCCAAAAGGCTGCACAGCCCTGCTGCTAATATTTTCAACTGAGTGTACACGTAGTCCTTGCTTAATGATCGTTCATTTAACAATTTGGAGTTACAACGGCCTTAGGAAAAGTGCTTTACGACCCCTGCGGTCATGAGATTGCAATTTGTGACCTTTTTTACGATGTCGTTAAGCGAATCACCACAGTCATTAAGCAAATCACATGGTCGTTAAGTGAATTCCGGCAAAAAATGTCCATTGGGGAAGCTGGATTCGCTTAACAACCATGTGATTCACTTAACTACGACATGATTCGCTTAACAACCATCGTAAAAAAGGTTGTAAAATCAGCTCCGATTTGCTTAACAACTAAATCGCTTAGTGGCCTAAATTCTGGTCCCTACTGTGGTCAGATAGTGAGGACTACCTGTATGATTGTTCCTTCGAAACTCACTGAATCTCTTCATCTATACAACTGCGGAAAGTAAGGGAGATGATCTAGCCGTTTAGTAGAGTTGACTGATTCCCTGGTTTGGTGTACCTAGTGGGGCTGACAACAACCCTCACTCAAGCCAGTGCAATATACTGTAGTAACTGAGATGCTGAGTTGACTCCATGAGTCCTCAGTCATGGAGACTCCCTATGGGCCAGTCACTCACCATCCAACCTATCTCGCAGGTTTCTTGTTGTAGGAAAAATCAGAGGAGGGGGTTTTAGTATGCCATGTGGAATCCCTGAAGGAAATATGAAGTTGCAGTACCTAAATAAATGGCTGAAACCCTGAAATGAGACCCCACCCCCACCCCCCCAGTGGCAAAGCAGACAGAACTGGATTGATTTACTTGAAAGTGGGCCATTTCCAACCACCATCCATACATCTCTTCCTGTGTTGCTCCCTTTTTGCAGGCAAACCTTTTCCAAAGGTTTCCACTTCCCCCAGCCACAGCCCCTCCAGCAGTTATGTGAAGAACACTTCGTCTTCATCCACAGGCTTCGACTACGCCCACGATGCCGAAGCTGCGCATATGGCTGCCACTGCCATTTTGAACCTCTCCACCCGTTGCTGGGAAATGCCTGAAAATCTCTGCACCAAGCAACAAGATCTCTCCAGCAAGGTGAGCGGGCAAAGGACAGCCACACCAGTAGATGTTGTCCTCTGGGTGGAGTGTAGGAATTTAGCTGCGGCCATCTCTGTCTGACCAAAGGACCCTGGGGATTGTCCAAGGCATGGTCCTCTTGTTTCAAAGCCATACATGAAACCAACAGCTTATGCAACTGATGCTTTCTCGGTTGCGTTATGGCTGGCCATCGATGAATTGCGCAAGTTCTGTGCAGCATTTGAAAGAGAACAAAAAAAGAGGGATAAGTCTTTCTAAGTGAGTCCCAGCTCCAAATTAGGAAAGACTAAACCCTATCAGACCAGTTAAAATCACCCGGGCTCCATTTTGAGCCTTCCGGTCACAAAGCCTCCAGTATCGGCCTGCCCTTATTTCTCCGTACAATCTGCTCCATCAATTCCTCTAAGTGGGGCCTTCTTTCTGTTCCTTATTCTAGAGTAGTGTTTCTCAACCTCAGCAACTTTAAGAGGTGTGAACTTCAACTCCCAGAATTCCCCAGCCAACAGGCTGAAGTCCACACCTCTTAAAGTTGCTGAGGTTGAGAAACACTGCTCTAGAGTGAAAGTGTCTTGGCTTCCAAGAACCTGCCTCTGCAA